GTATTTATTCAGAAAGATTTAATCTTAAAAAATCATTAAAATATTTCAAAATATATAGATGTCACAAAACTCCAAAAACACTCTAATAATAATAATATTGGTAATCATTCAGTGTGAACTAACCCAGATCATTCCACCTGATCAAGCTACTTGCGAGTGTGTATGTGTGAGTGTGTGTCCTTGAAGATAATGTCACCCCCCCGCCGACCCTCCCCCGCTGGTTGTTGCAGCAGCTCCGTCCCACACATTGTGTCAGTTCAATAGTCAGAGTGTCAGCGTAAGAACATTTTCAAGAGGGAAGAGATGAATGTCAGTCAATAAGTGTCTGACAGGTCAGTAGATATCACTGACCCTGGGCCTGGTCACACTGAGAGGCAGGGGATCAACAGGGATCAAAAGGGGCAACCCCCCCCCCCCACACACACACACACCTCCCCATGATTAATTTTCAGCTCCGCCACCAGTCGATGGATTTGAAAAACTATGGTAAGGAAGGTTGTCTTTGTACGGTCGAGTGTCCAGACCAGGAAAAACTAATTAAAACATTTTTTCAATTAATGCCAATTAGCCAAGAAACAAAACATCAGAAAATGTGTTCTCCTTCTCAACATCAATCTCAGATTTGATTAAATGAAACCAGTTACCGGTTTGGTTCTGGTTCTCTGGTCCTTAGACTCACCACTTGGACCAAACTCAGAGTTTCCTGTTAATTTAAGGAACATTGGACCAAACTCATCCAGAGTTTCCTGTTAATTTAAGGAACATTCTTAAAGCACAGTATATTAACAAAAGAATGAAGGTCTGTCTCCCTCTACAGGACACTGTGAAAAGTTCAACCTTTGTGCAGAACCGTCTGCTGATTCTGATCTGTTCTTACGGTTCTTCACACTGTGAGTGAAATCAGACTAAAGTATGAAGAGTCCAAGGACCTGAAGTGACTGGAGGTCGACATTCCCACTGCGTCGCTCCTTCAGCTGTGATTGGACGATTGGTTTTCGTCTATTGTTGACATTCTGTTTCCTGTGTCCACTCTACTCTGACGTCTGTCTCACTTCAGTGATGTAAACAGGATGAAATGTGATGTCACAAGTGAACACACGACGTCCAACATGAGAGCAGGTAGGTTGTAATTGAGTATTTTATTTGCAAATGAGAGTTATAACTCAGAAATCGTAAAAATATACATTTTTTACTTGTGATATTTACATGGATCGCTTTCATCAAAACAAAGGCGGAAATAAAAGTTTTGTTTTACAAAATCAAAGTGTTCAGATGAGGGCAGAGAAACCAAAGGTGTCTTCAGTGACGTCATCCAGAGAAAACGTTTTCACGTTTATCTCTTTGACTCGAAAACAATGAACCGAACATGAAGCCCACGTGGGCCGGTGATGAACGTTTCACACTGAAAAGTGCAAAAAAAACCCAAAAACAAACGACTGAAAATTACAAAAAAAAAAGAGTAAAGCTTCATAAAATCTCTCGGTGAGTATATTTACAATTGTAGATTTTCTTTTATTTTTAATCCTTATACAGTTATGTTACATCAAAGGTAAGCATTCCCATTCCTCCGCTCAGTCTCCGTGACATGCAGGTCCTTCGTCAACCTCATTCATCTCCTCCTTCAAAGTAACGATGCATCCACGTTCCCTCACACCGAGACACAAGGCTAAACAACATCCCGGCCTCATTCCTGCCCCGCTCCACAGCTTTAACCACAAATAAAAAACGCTCATCAGAACGCAAAAAACGTTGTGGATGGTTTTCCTGGAGTGAACGCAGGAACGAGCGAGTGCTGACAATAAATGGATCGTGTTTGGTGAAGGTCTGTTCTCCTCTGAACCACAGCGCTGCAAACACACGGATGGGAGGATGTGGGGGGGTGGGGGTGGGGGCACGAGGGCTCATAAACCTGGACCGATCTTCCACCTGAGACTCTCAGTGGCTGGGAGAAAAAATCAAGCCTGAAGGAATTTAACATCTGGAAGACTTCACTCATCCTTCTCCACCATCTCCATACGCGGTAAAGTCGGAGCCTGGACTCCAGATCAATCCCCTCAGACCCAGCACTACTTCAAAAAAAAGTGTGGGTTTATATGCATGTGTGTGTGTGTGTGTGTGTGTCGTGGGTGGTGCGGTGGAGTTTGCCCTTCTCTCCAGCGTCCAGGCTTCATCAGTCAGTTCTAACACCACCAGACATTTAATCCATCAAATTGATTCCAATGAAAGAAAAATAACGAGTTGTTTTATGTGTTGTTGGGTTTTTTTTCTCTCGGTGCGTTTGGCATTAAAAAAACAAGAAAAAAAAAAAAAGTGGCGCTTGTGTTTCCACACGTGCACCGGTTTCTCGTGTACCTGCCAGAGGCCAGGAGATGGAATGTGGGCGTGGCCTCCAGAGCTAGGAGCGGTTCTATATGGTCAACATGATTGGTCTCAGGAAAGTGACGTCACATTTATTCGTTGTGTGAAGTCAAAGAAAATAAAAGTTTGCAGTTTATAACACATCAAATAAAAAAAATAAAATAAATGAAGCTGATTGGTTCCTTTTCCACATCTTGATTGACTCCTACGGGAACACGTGGGTGTGGCCTAAGGGCCGACACTAAATTCACATGCACACTCTCCTGCATACACACTTACTGTCATTCCAATTCATGCATGCTGGCGTGCACGTGGACCCGGTCGTACACGAGCTTCTCTGCTCAACTGTCATTCATTTGAAGCTGTAAATAAAAAGTTTTGTTTTTTTTTCACCTTCACTTCACAAACCATGTGTCCTGGTGTTAAAAATACAAGTTCTGAGTTTTATTTTGGTCTAAAAATATTTTTTTTAAATCATTGACTCTAAAGTGAAGCCCTCCCCCTCTTCCCCCCCGCCCCCCCTCTGTTTGTGCAGAGAGAAAATCAATGAATCCTATCAATGACAGCATGTAACCGATCTGGACTGCGTCTGGTGCCCGGTGCTATTCCTGACGCTGCGGTGAATATTAAATTACTGCTCAAAATAATCTTTCGTCCGCGCGGACATTAAAGCTGGACGGTAGAGGAGATCAAAGGTCAGGGCGAACCAAAGGTGCCTTTCGTGTAAGGACTACGGAAGATATTTGACGGTTGGATCTGTCGGCGATGTCTGAAAAAAAAAACAAGAAATAACGCCGACCAATGGAATCAAACGATGGGACATCATCAAAGACGAAGGTAGTTTTCTTCAACCTGATCACGTGAACAATAAGTCCCTTCATCCTCCGACCTATTGACATCATGTGCGTTTATCTTTCTTTATGTACAATATCATATAAAAGCAGAGGTGGTTACAGAATCTACACCGGCGTCTGCCCCGACCGGGGGTGGATTTTTACCACGGATGAACCTGCTTCACTTGTGCTGCTCTGGAACGACAAGGTGAAAACTGAAGAAGAAGAATCTGCGACCACTGACCCTTAAAGCTGGATGTGAACAAAGTCCAAACCACTGGTGCGCTGGCGGATAAAGACAGAGACCAATGG